AGAAAATATTCTGGAATAGTGCAGAAAAGAGCAACAAAGATGATTGGGGGAGGCTGTAAGCTAAAACATACGAAGAATTCTTGCAGGAATTGAATTTGTCTAGTGAAAAGAGGGGCTAAAGGAGACATAATAGCAATGTTTCAATATTTGAGGGCTGCCACAAAGAAGAAGGAGTCAACCTATTTTTCAAAACACCAAAAGGCAAAACAAGAGACACTGGATGGAAACTAAACAAGGAGAGAAGCAACTTAGAACTAAGGAGAAATTTCCTAACAGTGAGAACAATAAACCAATAGAATGGCTTGCCTTCAGAAGTTGTGGAGATTTTTAAGAAGAGATTGGACAGCCATTTGAGCAGAGGATTGGACTAGAAGACGTCCAAGGTCACTTCCAACTCTGTTATTCTGTATAATGTTCTGTCATAATCTCATTCTTTCAGTGTTATCATATGTTCTCTACACTGCCTTTCCAACCATCTGTCAGATTCATCCAGCCTTCCTGCCTTCCTTCCTTCCTTCCTTCCTTCCTTCCTTCCTTCCTTCCTTCCTTCCTCCTCCTCAACCTTTTTCTTTCTTTCTTTCTTTCTTTCTTTCTTTCTTTTGACATTGTCAGTGGCATGGGAAATATTTCATAGAGGGCTTCAGAAAATGATAAAGGTAATCCAGAACTTGTGTGAGTGCAACATTTCCCTGTGATTTATTAACATGGCTGTTTCCTTTGGCTCTAAAACATAGGCAGATAACTTACCTCAGCCTGCAAAGCACTGCATTACAGTTTAGGATCATTTTCTTATCCAAAGCATTAAGTCCAGGGAAGAAGGATTGAAAACCATACGGAACAGAATATGATCTCAGAGTTGGATGAACGGCCCTGGACAATTGCCTGGTCTTTCAGGCCCCCCCTACTCTCTGAGTTCCATTGTTGAACTACTTTGTATGGGTTTCAGATAATTAAGGAACAGTTAAACCTCTGCCTCTCATTCCGCCAGTGGACTGTTATGATAAAGTGCTCTTGCCAACTCTTCTAAAATAACTGGGACATTGAGATCATCCTGCCTGTAAAGCCAGCACTGGGAAATCATGTTGTTATCATTTTAGCTGTCACCACCACCACTCAGAAAAGTTTCCACTATTGATTTACCTGGAGCAAGCTGGTGCACAGGATTGGCACACATTTTCCAGGTTCCTGGAAATGTAGAAGGCCTACAAGAAAGTGTTTTCCAATCATCTTTTTTGGAAGCACCGAAGCCAGTGAGATCTGCTTAATTTTTCCCAACTTTAAATAGGTTGGAGTTTTACTTCCACAGCTTCCAGTATTTGGCAAGCACTGATCCAAGACAATGCTGTCCTAGGACAATGAATGGTAGAGAATAGGGGTGAAAGGTCTTCAGAAAGTACCAAGCTGCAAGAGGAAATAGCTAGCTCGACCTCAGAAGTACCTACAACTTCAAGGACCCATAGCATAACCACCAGAAGGGGCTTCAGAGTGGGGAATGGAAAGACTTGACCTGCAAAATACTGTAGCTGCAACAGGAAATTGCTAGCTTAGCCACAGGAGAGGGACATATAAATTGTGGCAAGCAACTGATATTCTGAAAAATAGGTGGTTTTTCTGAGAAGAAGTATGTCACAGTGATAAGCAAAGCACATAGAATAGAATACTACATATTAATTGACATGCATTATGTATATAATCTGCTAATTATAATGCACGTGCAATATGTGATTTAGGGAGGGTCTCAGGAAACATGTAGGAGGCAGTCAGAGAGAATGTAACCTCATAGTACTTCAGCCAATGGGAAACGAGGAAGGATGGGCGACTGGTGTAGGGAATGTATAAAGATGTTGTTTTGAGATAATGAACTTTGGAGAGAACCAAGCTATGATAGCTTCTTCCTGCTTATTACAATAAACAAAACAAAAAGGTCTTCACTGTGTCTTGGCTTGTTATTGGTCAGGCAAATTTGCCACTGGTTGCGAAGGAAAGTAGCTGAGAGCATATAACAATGAAGAACCGGAGCACCTGAAAAAAATCAATTGTATCCTGACCTACTTCGCATCTGCCCATAGCTCACCTTTGCAGAACCTCTCACAGTGCTTTAAACAACTACTGTAAGGAAGTTGTGCTTCCTTTTTCTGGTTATCTGGCTATAACGTTTCATAGAATACAGTACAGATAATTGAACAAACTATGTTGCATTACATTCTTGATTAAATTATCTTTCCATTGATATATAATTTTATGGTACTACTTCAAAAAAAGTGGTATTATTAGCCATCAAACCTCAAAAATGCACTTTTCCCAAAAGGTTTCCACAATTTTGGCCACTACTGTAATTGTGGTGGATGCTGAGGTAGATTATTACTCTAATCTAAAGCTGAAGCAAGAATGTTCCTGGAGGGCAATGCCCATGGAGGAAGGGACATGCCTACAGTAGTCTCAAATAGTGGGAGCTAGGAAGATGCCAATCTCTGTACATCATCACCAACATCAATAAGGCATCGTAGATGGTACAGCAAGGCTTGTACTGGGAGAAGAGTGAGGTACTATTTCAAAAATGGCATAACCAAAGATTAATTGGGTTGTTGCTGTGAGGGCTACAGATGAGCAAGGGTGGCATTTTGAGAACATGAAACACAGCTAATGAGGCATATTTCTGCTGCAATTAGTGGAATGTGAAGGCAGGCCCCCTGAGCAGACTTGGTAACATTTAATACTATGCCAGGAAAGGATGAACAGATGTTTGACATGCCCACCGACAGATATAACATGGCATCTGACAAATAGGCATGAGTCAAGTATTGTTTGTCCTATATGGTGATAAAAATCCCCCTCCCCGATGCATATGTGAACTGCATTCATTACCAGACCTATGGGGTCATAGTATGGCTAGCATGATTATTTAGTAGGAAGGGATAAATAAGAAGTTCATCCAGATGGGTTTATCAAAACATCCCAACGTCATGCTGTAATTTTCACTGTGTCTGCCTTTTTCTGTTGACTTGTCTTTGAAATGTAGTTGGCCAAAGGTATATAAGTTGTGGTTCTCCTTTCCAACAAGGCTCTCAACAAGCTGCCAATGCTTTTCTGGGAGTTTGATATATACTGTTTTACTGTGTACATCTAATATATCTGTATCTTTGAAGTGTTTTGGTTGTCTTAGGTGAGCCAAGTTTTGGCCACAAGAAGTTTGATGCTGACTCAGATTGTAGGGATGAGAGGAGAGGCAATCCCTCACTTGTAGCACACTACTACAGTATATTGTTGAGATGTAGGGTGGACAAGATACTCAACATCCCCACTACATCCACCAGAGAAGAACAACATAAGTTTATAATCAAAAGAGACAGATGACCAGGTGGAAGGTTCACCCACAAGTGTTATCCCTAATCTTTAGGAGCAGTCCTTACCGCTCATAACATAGGGCAATTATAAAAAGTAAATTATTAACCTACATCTGGAATGGAGGACTATTTATTTAGCCCCAATTAAACATGTCTTGGGTAATAGGTCTACTCATTCTCACAGGACTACAGACATGAGAGTCAAAACGATGTTGAACATATAGTAGCAGAGGAAGGACAAGATGGAGAGGGGAACATGGGCTTGGAACAGATCTTCAAAACTCAGAATTGGCATCACCACCTAAACATCTTTTGATGCCCTTTTAGTCATATAGGGATAACCTGACTTAATAACACGTTTTCTCTTCAGCAGTTGAAGGACTGGAAATGGGACTGAGGTTATAGACATACAATAGGGATACCTTTTTTTTAATGCCTTCGAGTCAATGTTGATTCCTGGCAACTGCTGGTCAAATCCCTGCTTCCTTCCTAGGGCTGAGAGAGAGTGACTGGCCCAAAATCACCCAGCTGGCTCTGAGCCTAAGGTGGGATTCGAATTCAAGATCCTCTGGGTTTCTAGCCTGGTGCCTTAACCACTACACCAAACTGGTTAATACTAGGTGAGTTGCAAAGTTATTACTCCAAATTTGTGAAATAAACCCTTTCTCATCCAGATACTTTTCAAATGTGCTGGATTACAGTCCCAACAAAAGTGTGTGTTTGTGTGTGTGTCTAGTTCCACATACAGGGCAGCATGGTGGGTAACAGTAGTAAACTAGAATCCATGGCCATTTTTCTGTGGTTTAAACAGGACACATGCATGTTGTTATTTCCCATTTCTTTTGTCTCATCTTGTCCTATAGTTGCTGTTAATTTTAAATAGTTATGAATATTTCCCCCCCCCCTAAAACCTCTAAAAGTTCACAAGGAAAAGTTCTGGCATGGAAAACCATTTCTTTCCTGGGAAAACCATGCTTGGTAAGCTAGCTTTTCTTTCTAACAGACAACCAGTGGAAGCAGTACAAAGCAGTGCTGTGTACTGCTTTCCTTTTGTGTGACCAGATAGATCCTTTGACTCAGTTGCAAAATGCTGCTAAGACTAGCAGCATCTGAAGGCTTTGAGAGCTCATAACTACAATTATAGTACAAAAAAGGCAAATATTCTGTAGTCTGTGGCCACGTCCTCACAGTAATTTTAATGAGTTGGCAGAAAAATATGTTGACATAATTGTGCTAGTGATGAAATGTGCCCATCTTCTACTGTAAGGACAGTATCACTCCTTGGCATGTTTGCCAAAGTTCGGTGCATTTTGGTCAACCTTGGAGCCATGAGTGAGAGACTGAGAAAGGCACTGGCTTAAGCTGGGGATGAGACAGAAGTAATATCATGAAGCAAGTCTCTTAAAAATGGCTAGCAATTTTGTCATGGGGAAGACAAAATAAAATTAAGAGAATAACTGATGAGAGAGGGACATGATTGTAAACAGTTTTGCTATTTACAGTTATCAGAAAAATTCAAAATAGGCAAAAGAATTATATGATCGAATATTGTAAGACTGTGAAATGGAATTGTGTGCAAATAATAAACATGTGATTGTTAAAATATATAAACATTTATTATTTGAAACATAACAAGTGAATGTATGATAAAGTGGAATAAAAATATGGTTATTATAATATAGAAATGGAAGAGTGGGAAAATATGTGGTTGAAAGGATTGAAATTGGCACTATGTTATCTTAAAGAGAACCGGTTTATGTTCAGCTATGTACTACTCCATGTAGTCTAATAGCACAAGCCAGGGGTTCCACATAAATATCAAAAAGCAAAGATGAAAGTGCACGTCCCATTAAATAATGGGAAAGTAGTAGAAAATAGCAGGAGGCATGATGGCTCAGCAGTTAAAGATGCTGAGAGCTGACAGCCCAAGTTCAAAACCTGAACTCGGCTCAATGGGGTAAGCTCCCATTACTTGCCCCAGCTCCTACCCACTTAACACTTCGAAAGCATGCAAATACTAGTAGATAAATAGGTACCATTTCAGTGGAACAGTAACAGTGTTCCGTACGCTGGGCGTATACTCATGCTGGCCACATGACCATGGAAATGGTCTCCAGACAACGCTGGCTCCCTTGGCCAAGAAATGGCGATGAACACGGTGTCCTAGAGTTGGACATGACTGACAGGGAAATCTTTACCTTCAGTAGAAAATATACTACAGTGGACAGCTTGTCAGTGAATAGCAAAACTAACTAGTAGCCAAATGTATTTTCATCACTGGTTTCAGTGGCCATAGGAGGGTGCTGGTTGCAATTCCAGATTCTGTTCTTTCTCTTGCAGCTCTTTCTGCCGCAGTAAACCTTTGCAGCAACATTTGGGCATGTTCTTAGCTAGAGCTGCATAGATGAATGGGTGGATGCAAACATGAAAGTGAACTAGGATTTTAGTTATTTGATAGGTGAAGTAAATGGGCATGTTGTATTGGTTCATACGAAAATAAAGATTCATATTGCGAAATATATGAAAAGGCAAGTAAAAGAGGGCATAAAGGAGCACAACTGTAGAAATCAGTATCTTCACTTTACTCTTTTCCTCCCTGGTGGTACCATGACTGCGTCTAACAGCACAAACAATGGCCACACAAGAAAAGAGAGTCAGGAGAAAAGGCAGTGCACAGCCCACAGTCAGGAGGAACCAGCTATATGGCCAATAAGCAGGCAGTTCTGATGCAGGAGCACTTCCTAAGCAAGTTTTTGTGCTGTTTTTCCTTTCCACGGTGGAGAAATAAAGGACAGGGGCTGAGATGGCTATCGCGAGAAACCACATCACCCCGCTGACAACTTTGGCATGGAAGGGTTCGATGCGCTCATGGGCAAAGAAGGGATGGACAATGGCGATGTAGCGGTTCAGGCTGATGCAAGCAATGAAAAAGGTGCTGCCGTACATGTTGACAAAAAAGACAAAACGATCCAATTTGCACAAAATGAAGCCGTACTTCCAGTCCTTGGGGGGAAAATAGTAAACAGCCAAGGGCAACAAGGAGATGGCATAGAACAGGTCACAGAGCGCCAGGTTGAAGGAGTAGATGATGCCGGAATGCCAGGTGCGTTCCCAAGCCACAAAGTGGTAGATTGTAAAGCCATTCCCCAAAACAGCGAAAAAGAACTGCAGAACTATGATGACCCACAGTTTTCCTTGGAAGCGGTCACGTTCTTCTTCATGGTTTAGGTTCCCTGTCTTCATACTGGACAAAGCAGGATGAATGAGGTGAGAGGCTTCCAAGACTGCCTGTTGACTACAAACAGAGAGCACAAAGGAGCATATTATCAGAAATTCTGACACCTATCACTTCAACTGCAGCTATCTTAAAAAACAAAAGTTGCTTCGTTCAGCTTTTTTTTTTTTTTTGGGCTCCCTTGGAATAGATGCTTGTTTGATAAACAGAATTTCCAGGAAGTCTAATATGATCACGATGGTTAGATAAAAATATGGAGAATGGAAAGAGAGAAAAGTCACAAAACAACTCTCATATACAATTAGGACTAGTTTTACCTATGTATTCATGATCTGCTATGCAAATTAATATATACAGTAAATCCGTTTTTTGAACATTTGAAAAAAAGAGAGAAGTTCAGCATATAAAAAATAGATACTGTACAATTCTCCACCTGGGACTTCTACAGATAAAAATCCTTTAGGCCCAACAAACCAAGTTTGTAAGTCATTGTACAATGAATTAATGGATGGTGGATATCCCTTATAGCAGTGGTGGCGAACCTATGGCACGGGTGCCAGAGGCAGCACTCGGAGCCCTCTCTGTGGGCACGCGTGCCGTTGCCCCAGTCCTAGGCCTTCCCCTGCGACCTCCTCCTCCTCTCCAGCAGCCCCCCTGAAGGAGAGTCGCCCCTGAGCGTGGCCCACACAAGAGCCAAGCCTAATTCTGCACTTTGACACCATGTCTCCAACAATTAACTGATCAGTGTCTTCCAGAAAAAAAATGCATAATCCAAGAGATACAAAATAATATTTTTATTGTAAATCATAAGCAATCGGTATGCATCTATGGAAATATATACATGCCAAAGTAGTCTTCCAATTCTTATTTGGTGCCTCCCTAAACTTTCAAACATATAATTTAGTATATTTTAACAATCATTTATAAATAATTATGATAGCTTTTTATTTCACGCTGAACATGCTAAATATTTTAGTTGTAGTAGCACCCTAACACATACAGGATTTTTGGCCTTTAGCCTAAAAATGCTGAACAAATGAAGTGGTTTGCCCTTGCCTCCTTCCCAGGGCTGGGAGTGAGTGACTGGCCCAAGGTTGCCCAGATGGCTTTGAGCCAAAGGCAGGATTAGAAGTCACGATCTCCCCATTTCTAGCTTGGTGCCTTTTACTACTATACCAGGGGTAGGCAACCTTGGCTCTTTTATGACACGTGGACTTCAATTCCCAGAATTCCTGAGTCAGCCATGCTGGCTCAGGAATTCTGGGAGTTGAAGTCCACGAGTCATAAAAGAGCCAAGGTTGCCTACCCCTGTACTATACCAATTTATTACAAATAACAAAAAAAATCAACATTTCAGTATTCATAGATCTCAAATATGCGCTCGTACACTACTTGGGGTCCACAAGGGCTAACCAGATGCCCTGACAAAGATCTATTTAGAAATTTTGAAAAGATACTCTCCTCCTTATCTTACAAGTTATTACTCCATTTTTAAATTTGTCTTGTTGAGAGGAAAAATACTGTTTTCCTTAATGCTTGCTTTGCTCAACTTTAAAGGCTTATTCCAATGATTTAAATATAGTTCAATATAGACATTCTCTGGTGTGTATTTTAAAACTGGTGTCATTCATCCCTGATCGCAAACAATTTATCAATAATAGCCCATAAAGTCTTAACTTCTCTCCCTTGCATATACTGTATTCCTAAGCAATATTCTGCCTACTAGTTTCATCAAACCACCTCACTTATCTTTTTCCACATTTGATCTTCTATTCTGATGTTTTAGCCATCTACTGTATTCCTTTTGAACTCTAGCATAATGACAGACTATGCAGTTTTCTTTGTTAATTGCACAGAATTTGTTATTTCTGTCCTGGTTAGAAGCAAGTTCCAGATTGCAGCTTAGCCAAAAGTGTATTAGGCCCTTTTATTTAATAGTTTTAATACATTAATGCATCTAATATATTCATTATAATTTTTGTGCTGTGGCAGTTAGTTTAAATTTGAGCTGTGTTCACTAAAAGCACTTCAATTTTGATTTATTATGTTACGTTTAGTTTGTCTTTGCCATTGAACCAAAGTGTTCAATTATTTTCTATTTTCCCTTGAACTTATGCAAATAGTTCTGTCTGATGCAACTTTTTGCAAACAATGTATTCTATTAAAACTGTAGCTGGAAAATTCCCATTGTTGTTTGGTTCCATAAATTTAATGACATGGGATGTGTGGGGTCTAAGCTTGAAGGAGAATGAAATCCAATTGAGTCCAGTTTTTTTTTCTCCTGACAGCTAATTGACATAATCTTACCAGTTTAAAGCTACAACCTTCTAACTTTAAATATACCCTGGAAGATTCTAGGCCAGGGTATGCTACCCTGAATCTTTTCCTCCCTTCCCTCCCTCATCCAGTTCAGAACTGCACAATCTCTTATTGTGGGGCCCTTTTTTGGAAATGTGTTGTCTTCTGCCTGGGAAGCCACCTTGCAATTGACAAGATTCCCCTCCCCCTTATTCTCCAACTGCACATTCCATCACATCATACTTACAAATATCCCAAATGATCAGAGACACCTCCCCCCCCCCAATCTAAGCTATTCCACTTTCAAAAAGTCATATGAGCATTGGCAAGGAGCATAAAGTCAAAGAAGAAAGGAAACTTAGGAGATAAAGGTCACATTGACTAACAGAATTCAGAAGCTTTTTGAGACTTTGGAAAAAGTGCAGAGAACAGCAACAAAGATGATTAGGGGTCTGTTTTAGGAGACTAAAACGTATGATGAACAGTTGCAGGAATTGGGCATGGCTAGTCTAGTAAAAAGAAGGACTAGGGGAGATATAATAGCAGTGTTCCAATATTTGAAGGGCTGCCACAAAGAAGAGGGGGGCTGTGTGTCAACCAATTTTCCAAAGCACCTGAAGGCAGGACAAGAAGCAATGAATGGAAACTAATCAAGGAGAGAAGCAAGCTAGAACTAAGGAGAAATTTCCTGACAATCAACCAGTGGAATAACTTGCCTTTAGATGTTGTGGGCACTCCATCACTGAAGGCTTTCAAAAAGAGACTGGACAGACATCTCTCTGAAATGGTATAGTATAGGGTCTCCTGCTTGAGCAGGGGTTTGGACTAGAAGACCTCCAGGGTCCTTCCAACTCTGATATTCTGAAAACTCTGATTTGGTCATAGTATCTAGGGTACATTATCTGATGACAAAGCTTAAACTGTAGAGACAGACTACTCTGGCACTACTCTGGCTGTCACCTCTCCCAATTCATCCATTCATAGAGTTTAATAAAATACATTTTCCATACCTCAGGTACTTGGTGCAGAGTTAAAAGACAGACATAAACATGAAACAAGGTGAAACAAATTGAAAGGGACACAATGAAAGCTAAGAAAAGGAAATAAGCAGCATTACATCAATGTTCTCCGACATGCCTCCTGTTTTGTAAAACTGCAGTTCTCATAATCTCCAACCACTATTGTTGGAAATAGTGGGGGATGTAGACAAATAAATCTGGAGAACACTAAGATAGAGAGTGCAGTAGCTATTTAAATAGTATCCCAATGCACATATACCTAATCCAGCTTCCAGTCGATTCCATATAGAAGTGAGTCAGCCGTATTTTCCCTTACTGCAAAGAAGTTGTGAAGTCCACATTCAAAATGAGGTACTGTATTATGTAGATTCTGAAATTGTACGAGGAAGTAGATGAATCATGACTAAATAAAGTTGAAAAGAACCTGCCTTGCGCAATGAAAAGGCCTTTTACAGCTCTTTTGCATGTGATCACAATATGCTGAAAATAGAGCAAGAATACAAGACAGCATGAGGTGGAGGCATCCTAAGACTGGCTGTCCAACAAAGAATAAATCCCAGAGCTGAAAAAGGATTGACTTTTTCTGAAATCCTACCTGTACATAATTTTAAACTCCATGGATAACTTGGGAGAATGTGAGATAAGATAGAATGAAGCTACTGAGAAAAATAAATGTGATTAAGAAGCAGCTGAGATCTTAGCTCCAAGATCTTCAATGTCATTCCATATCACACTTTTGAATACAACTATAAAAAGCAGGGTTTTTTTTTATAATTGTAGAGAAGAAAGGTTTATTGCATTTAGTCAAGCGAGACTGAGAGGAGTTTTTGGCTTAGGGGAAAAAAGCCCACTAAAACGCTATTTGAAATGATAGAATTCTGAAAGGATGCTTTAGCTCAGGGGTCTTCAAACATGGCCCTTTTATGGCTCATGGACTTCAACTCCCAGAATTCCTCAGCCAGCGTGCCTGGCTGAGGAATTCCAGGAGTTGAAGTTCATAAGTCATAAAAGGGCCAAGTTTGAAGACCCCTGCTTTAGCTGATCTAACTCCCAAATGCAGCCCATCTCAAAGAACCAGAGATAAGCAGAGGCAGGCATTATTTGGACCCAGTTCCACCACCAATCCTATGTCATTTTTGAATAGACCACAGCAATCTCCAGTCAAATCAGGAATGTGCTACTTAGTGTGAAAACGGTTACAGTAATGGAAAAAGTTGGTTTTGGCCCTAACCATATCCTGGATTCTAATCAACTTTACAGTTGATTAGTCTTGCTACAGTCCACAAAATAAAATAAAATAATCAATTCAAAGAACCCGATGTTGTGTATGTGTGCTGCCTAGATTTGTAACTAGTGGGATTTAAACATCTGTTTATGATAAGGATACCAGGATTAAAAATTCAGAGTCATGGCAATCTCTGGATTTTTTTTTTTTACAATTATATCACATTGCTTTGCTCACAAGTGGTTGCTAAATGTTTTTTGTGTAGGGGATAGTTTTGTGTTGTTCATTTTATTGATTCTATTTTTTTTATTGGTCAATGATTAAAATAAGATACTGTCATTGTTTTAAAACATGTTGAAAGCAATGGAACAATTGCCTGCATCTCAGAAATTGTAATCATTTTTCTAATAGTAAAATATTCATCACGTATTTTTCATCAATTTGATGTATTAGCTTTGATTTTTGAATTTAGTTCTAGAAAACTAAATTCTATAGGTATTATCAATTTTTATTAACCATGGCTTGATTTACTAAGTTAAACTGTCTAAAATTCAATCTATGGCAATTTGACCATTTAAAGCAGGGGTGTCAAACTGCGGGCCCATGGGCTGGTTGCATCATATGGAAGCCATGCCCACTCCAGCTCCTGCAATGCGAAGTCACGCTACATCATGACACGTCATGTGACAAGGCGAGTTTGATACCCGTGATGTAAAAGATGTCAAATTGCCGTATCTAAACTACTGTATATAGTTTTATATTGCTAGAGGGCAAATTTGGTGTAGTGGTTCAAGCATCAGGCTATAAACTAGGCAATTCTGAGTTCTAGTCCCACGTTAGGCATAAAGCCAATTGGATGGCTTTGGGCCAATCACTCTCTCTCAACCTAGGAAAGAGGAAATGGTAAACCACTTCCAAATCTTGCTAAGAAAACTGTAGGAACGTTGTCCAAGCAGTCATCACTGACCAAAAAAATAAATATATCCTTGTATAGGTAGTGTTCAACTTATGACAATTGAGCCAAAAATTTCTGTTGCAAGGCCACTGTTAAGTGAGTTTTGCCCCCTTTACTTCCTTCCTTGCCAGAGTTGTTAAATAAATCATGTAGTGGTTAAATTAGTAGCACAGTTGTGTATCCCCACTTTGTCAGGTTGCAAAATATGGTCACATGACTCCAAGACACTGCAAAGCTCATGAGTCAGCTGCCAAGCATCCAAATTTTGATCATGGGGACGCTACCAGTCAAAAATGTGAAAAATGGTCGTAAGTCATGTTTTTCAGTGCAGTTATAATTTCAACCACTAAACGAATGGCTGTTAAGTCAAGGACTACTTGTATTTACTTCCACAGATGTAATCATGTAGAGCCCCTGAATGCAACTAGGATGTATTTCTGTAAACCTGCCCCTACATTTTGGACGAGTAAGTTTAGCCAGGGATAATAATTTTATAAATTATTCTTTTTATAGCCTCTGAAGAGCTGCAGTTGCCCACAAAGAAGCCAAATATATTTGCTATCTTTTGAAAACCTTTGTGGGAGAACCAGAGTTTATTGCTAAAGAAAAAAATATCCTGCCGATTAAAATCAGCAGGCATAGGTATATCCTTCTTTGCCATTTTTGTTCTACATTATCAAATAAAAACTTATTTTCTCAGAAACCTTCTGCATTGCAGTAGAAAATTTTTAATCCTCAATAGAAATCGCCATCTGTTCTTTATTTCATCTCCTTCCAAAGTGCTTCAAGTCCTCTTAAAAAGAACTTTGATCAACTGCCCTTTCCAGCTGATAGACACTTCCAACCAATCCCACATCAAAGCATATATAAGTCCAACCCAAAAAAGAAGAGGAAGCAGATTTTGGAAGTCAATATATATTTTATAAAACCACCAGTACATCACAAAAACCATGCAAGAGGCTCAGAACGTTATGCTGGCTTTTGCTTCCTTGAATGCCCTGCTTTTTGGAAAGTGCTTTTTCCTTTGAAGGCCTGCTTCTGCCCCAGTCTAGATTTTCCCTGCCTTTGTGATCCCAGAGGCCTACTGCCAGTCTGTCTTTTGCCTCTTGGCTGTCTTTTGCCTCTTGGCTGTCTTGCAGCCTGGGGTTGCTTCTGCTTTACATTCTGTGGCCTCCTGTGCTGCCTTGTATTCCTCTGCTGTTGGCTCAACTTCTTCCCCTGTCGGTGTTGAGGAGTGTCTCTCTGTGGCTGCCTCTGCTGACCAGGCCGTGAAGCCTTCTTGTGTTTCATTGTTGTTTTGGCCCCCATACGCTCTTGACTCTGACCTTGCACTGAATGCATGTATTTGCATTTTTTCTTGGGTGTGGTAGATTGGCTGAGCCTTCGTTTCCTCTTTGAGCTTTGTGGGAACAGATCTAGAAAGAGCAGAACGCAGTAAACACAACAGTTAAGAAGAGTCATTTTTAGACTCTCAACACTTTATCTTTTTTTTTAAAAAAAGAATGATCTTAAAGCAGCAACAACAATTTAGATCATAGGGTCTTCAAGTAGGAAGCCACAGCCCACCCAGAAAGAGGAAAAACAGCTTCAGAAAAGACACAGCTTGTAGCATTAAGAGAACCAAGAGGAAATCTTGGTTTGGGGTTTTGGAAAATCTGGCCCTCCCCAAATTCTCCCTCCTGCACCTCCCAATTGTTCTAATTTAAAAGCCTACTAAGTAGGCACTGACCTTCATCTGGCTCCTCCCCAACTTCCTGGCGGTAATATTCCACATCATCATCAGAGGGCTCGTCTACATTTTGCTGCTCCTGCATTCCAGGGTCCTCAGCATCGCTGTCTCCCCCGACCTCCGTCTTCCTCTTCATCCCTGCCAGACTCTTCTTCCTGTAGCCAAGGACAATTTCCATGAGTGCCCTGGGCCAATCTTCTCAACCAAAGGGACATTCACCACTCCCACTTACCCCCTTGGAGAGACATATGCCTGGAAGAGAAGCTTTCCTGGCTTGAGTGCCTGTGTCTTCCCTCCCCTTACCGATGCGCTTGCTTTTGTGTTTTTTTGTGGGCCACATCTGCCTCTTGCTTCTGGCGCCGTTGAGCCTTGAGCTGCAGTTTTTCTTCTTTTCTGGCCAGGGCTTCTTGGATCTCTTCTTCAGTCTTATGAACTGGGAGAAGGCACAGGAGATTACCCAATGGGAAATTGCTCAGGGAAGAGTCACTACGGTCAGGCTGATAGCTTCCCCCTTCATTCACTTATGCAGGCCTTGAGGCAACCAAGGGACAGGTAAAACCTATCTGCCATGATGAGGAATAACTGAGTGCAGAAATGTTTTGACTGCTGAAAGACAGATCAATTTGTAGGAAGACAGGGAGCTAGCTTGCAATGACAGATCATTCATTTATCTAGTTCATTATACTGACTAATAGCAGCTCTCTAGTGTTTCAGGAAGAGTTTTATTTGCCCAATCTGGAAATGACACAGCAAATGTTCTTTATAGAGTAGCTCAACGGAGGAACCAACTAGCCAGAAATGTGGTAGTGGAACACCCTCCCCTTCAGTACCTATATACAAGCAGAGGTTAGAAATGATCTGTCTGGGATTGTCTAATCAGGATGCCTGCACTGAGCACTGCGAGTTGGTCTTGATGGCCTAAAAATCACTCTGTCCAACACTTAGGATTCCATGAATGTACCTGCATGAAACTAGCTGTGCCTCAGACCGATGGTATTTCCTTAAAGATGTAGTATACATCCACAACATCCACACCCCAGCGGGATCTGCCTGGAACTTTACAACCCTTTAATTTTCACTTCAAGTTGGAAGTGATCAAGCAATGGACCTGTTTTAAACTGCAAAGTGCAGGGGGGCTACAACACTGAATTTGGCCTTGGATGTTTTGGAGGCCTAAGTTGTTAGATTGAGGGATGCAAGAGGTAGTTGAGGTGTTCTTAGCCAGTGGGTTCAGTTCTTTCTTGTGCACACAGGTTTGAAAAGTGCAAACCTCCAAGGCTAGTCACCTCAGGTTTCTTAAAACAGGTCCATGATATACGTTCATCAGCTCCTCCAAAGCACAACACTGATCTCCCAAAAACTTTTTTGTTCCAGTTGAAAGAATCTTGCAAAAAGGGAGAAATGTTTGCAACAGTACTGGAAGAACAACTGCACTAATCACACTAATTATCCTCTAAGTCATAGAGTACGCCACCATAGGAGAGGTGTTCTTGAATATGCCCCCATCAATACTCTGGTTCTGCTCCCCAACACAGAAGAATTAAAACAGAAGAGCCACAATACTTACTGAAGCTATGGTAGAGTATATTGCCTTGACCTAGTCCTTCTTCCACCTTGATGAGCTGCAAGGTCATCCGAGGGCCAATCTGGACACAGAGACAACACACGAGAGACAAAGAAATTCAAATTCGGGCATCTTGAGCAGAAAGGAAGAAAGGCTGTCTGGGGGGGGGCATTCCAAAGCCAGATGATCAGAGCAGATGATCTAGAGGATCAGAAGAACTCGGTTTTCTGCTATACCAGGCCCCTATGCTACATCCATGCTCACCCAACTTTTTAGTAGAATTATTAAGACTGTTTACATAAGTAAAAGACTAATGTAAAGGAGAAAAAAAAAACAAAGAGCAAAACTTATCATCGTCCCTCCTCCCTCTTTGATTTTACAAAAAAATCCATTTATTGTCCCTTCACTCTTTTCTATTTTCAGTGAAAAGTCCGTAAAGCATTTCCAATCTTTTAACACTCCAGCCCAATTCTGAAGGACAACATTCCCAACTGACCTCAGTGAGTCGGACTGCACTCTGCTGGGCCTTCATGTTCCCACGACCGGCGCAGGCCTGAGGCAGCTCCGTGATATTGTGACTGCCATCTTGCTCAGCTTCGCTCTCGGAGAGATTGATGTCTCTGCAGGTCAGGGCAATGAAACAACACATTTTTGTTCTTTCTAGCATGACTACCATCGGCACGGAAAATAATTCCCACTCTGATGTATTCGACTACAAACCCCACCAATCTCGGTTAGCATGGTGCTGACTGGAGTTTGGAGGGGCACTATGCTGGGGTAGGATAGGTTGACCAACAGAATGCACATACTGTAAAACAAAGACACAACCCCAGCCCTGCCTTCAAATCATCTCCCCTTCTCACACCTCTGCAGAATTCCCCCCAGGATTAAAAAGAAAGCTAAATTCTGGATGGAAGGAGCAGGCAGACAGCCCCCCCCTCTCACCTGACCAACAATTCACTGATGTCATCCAGGCGGTTCATGTTAGGAAATCTCTCTTGCAGGAGCTTCTTCAGCCCTTTGCTCATGCCCACCGGCACTACTTTCAGGCTGCTACACAATACAGGATAGGTGTGAGTAGATTTCATCAGGAAAAAAAGCACATTTCACTACAACTGTGTTGAGGCAGCGGCGGCGGCGGGAGGGGGGACAGGAGGAGAGGTAGCCCTGGTTCAAGCCCTGGCATCTCTCCAAGGGAAGGTACCATGGTATCAGGCCCGAGAAAGACCATTCTTCTGGCCAAGGAGCTTGAGAATCATGATTATAGTAAATCAGTCTTCACCAAACTGATATGGATGTTAGATGTGTTGCTCTACAATTGCTAATAGCCGTCTGGAAATTCTGGGAGTTATAATCCAACAATCTAGTCTAGTGTATAAGACTGCGAAAGACAGTCAATATTAAATTAATGGTTTAATTACCAGCATTATGCAAGACAAGAGATAGAACATCAGGAAGGTCTAATCTTGTCCTCATATTAACAAGAAACAATTTATACACAAACTCTGAAATAAACAAGACCCTTCAGCCATAAGTGGAAATCCAAGAACCTATATAGCTCTTTGAACCCTGATTTCATCTAATGAACCACTCCAACTGTTGTTTAAGTTTTCTAACTGCTATGGTTCTCAATGTTAGTGTAAAATAAAGGCCCTGCTCAGAAAAAGAAGAGTGGTGTGTAATAAAGTTTTCCAAATTTTGGATTTTCTAAAAAATTATGATTTTGTTTTTTTATGTGTATCTCTTGCAAACAAATTATATCAATGTTTAATTTCTGTAGTTGTTTGAAAATTCTTTTTCTTTTTGATGGGGAATTCAATCCGTTTATATTCACTGAAAAAATTCCATTTTCCTTCTCCATTCTGATATAGTTGTATTTAGGTCTTGTTGATCTCGTAATCCTCTGCTCTCTTACTGTTCCCTCATCTTCTTGATTCATCTTCTCTTTTTCTTATTCCACTTGTGTAGTTGTTTGTTCTGTATGTTTCTGGCTTCTTCCATCCTCTTGTTGATATTGTGTTCTTTCTCCCAGAAATGCTCTATATCTTTCATCAAAATCCTGTGCCTTCCACACTGAATCCAATTGCTATCTTGTATTATTCCAATTGATTAGAATTCCTTCTGGTATCAGCCATTTAAAATTTTTGCAATCAGCTTTGTAGTCAAAGCTTTGGGTAGACATCTTTCTTTCACATATTAGTTTTATCCTGGTTTTTGCAGGTCCCAATTCCTCTTGAATTACATGCCAACAATTTAAAAATTAACAAGATGATCGAGATTGATATTGCGTGCTTTACTGTTGCAACACAAAATGATCATACAAACTTGGAAAGATACTTTCTGAAGAGTTCCCTTTTTTCTATAACTGCTTAAATGTTTTACTGTCAGGAGGCTTACTTAGAGGACTGCTTGAAAATTTGCAGAGTTTTGTATTTAATTTCCCCTTTGCCTACTATTTATATTGTTCAGTAAACTATCTTAAAAGTTAAGGAATAGCCACTGGTTAGTAACATGAATATTTTGATGAGTTTTCTTCTTTGCTTTATTGACTTTTTAGGGGAAGTCTGGGTTTGTATGATAACAAGAGGAAAGATTTCTGAGCTCGTCAGAAAAAAAGCTGCAATCACCCATCATTAAAAAAGTCCATTTCTAACTGGCTTGGATACATCAGAGCATTTACTGAAAAATAAGATCAGAGGCACATCAGCTGGTTATGCTCTCATCATCTGCACCCAGCTTGGACAGGACCTTGTTTGTGTCTGCAATGGAATCTGTAGTCATGTTAGAGCCATTGTGGACAGCAGGAAAGCCTTGCCTCCATTTTCCCAACACACTGATCTTTAACCCCCATCTTCCTCTACCCTCAGCTGGCTGAGGATGATGGGGATTGGAATCCAATTCCAAGTTAGGGAGAGCTGGTGTGGGACAGCATGAAAATAACAAAGGACACATAAATTCCCCTTAGCTTCCAGCATACCAAAAAAGTACTGAATACTCTGCAAAAGTCTCCTCCCCCCACCGTGCATATTCATATTGCACCGTAGAATTGTGCGCATTGAATACAACGCATTTCCCATCAAGAATCCCTGTGCAGTCTATTTCAAACTATCAGAAGCAGGAGTGGCACAGAGCAGAAATTAAAACCTACTTACTAGTGACGGAATTCCATTATCTGGGTGTCAGGATTGTAGTTGATCAGGACACAGCGTTTGATGGTATTTAAACTGACCTGACAGGTAGGCAAAAAGAAGGGCACACGTGGTGAGACCGAGGATTCAGACTAAGGCTTGAAAAGCAACCTGAGGTTAAGATTTTCCAGCTGCCAACAAATAGTACTCAAACTACTTCCCAGTGATTGAACCTCCAAGTCCAAGAGTTCTTATATCTAATTCTAAACTATCATTGATTTAAATATTTCTGGGAGGGAGGGAAATAGAGGAAAACTTGGAAAATCTCTGTTTTCTTCCCTGAACATTTTTGAAAATGTTCCTGGAGCATCATATCTCCAGTTTCCAACTCCAGGTTCTCAAAAAGCAAATTTATTTCTGTGTTGACTAAAACCATATTTAACCCGGGCAGTGGGAATGAGCTTTAACCTACGTCTTCCCTCTCCCTTCCACAGTTAGAGATGGCCACTAGGTATATTTGAACAACATCTGTGCAACACAAAAGGGAGAACTACATTCAACTTGGGAAGCCGAGGAGGAGGAGGAAGATCTGAAACTAAATAACTCTCTTCCATTTCTGCATTTATAAAACTTGCACTCCAAAATTAACAAGAACTCAGTGTTAGAAACACCAAACACCCAGCAAACTGGGTGATAAAGGATTGATGCATCAGTGCGTTTACTTTGGAAAGAAATCACAAAGAGCTATCATCCAAGATACGCTATCATCACTTGCATCTGGATCAAAATTATCCCTAAGAACCTGAACAGTATCTTAAATAACTTTGCCACCATTTAGGTTTCATCTACCACCGCTCTATGCCTATTAGAGACATGAGGTCCTCCTGGACCAGATTTAGCTCTATCCCTCACTTCAATTTTTAGGCAGCAACATTACCACAAGGACAGGAATCAGACCAGAGGAGTCTGAGTAGCAAACTAGTCACCTAATTAGCTTCCCAATCTCCAAGCTTTTTTTTTTTTTTTTTTTTCAAATTTAAATTTTTATTATTTTTATCATAAAAAGAAACACATCACAAATACATCACAATACAAAAAACCCCATTCCCCACCCCCCACCCCCCGGACTTCCCAAACCTTATCCCAGGATACTATTCAACTAAAAGTAAACTACTAATAATATCCCTAACTCCACAAAATAATATTCTACATAAGTAGGTGAAATATATATATAAAAAAAACAAGTTATCTAAAAGCCTAAATTATATTCCACCATTCTATGCTTTTTTTGAATATAAACAATCCATCTTCTCCATATTGATAAAAATTGTTCATTTGAATGATTCTTCAAATAAGCCGAAATTTTTGCCATTTCAGCAAGATGCGAAACCTTCAATCTCCAGTCCTCCATTGTAGGTAAAACTTTACTCTTCCAATTTTGAGC